TAATAAACAGAATTTTAAAAGTAGTAAGACAAAAGAAGACAGTTACATACAAGAGAAACCTCATAGGGCTATCATCAAATTTTTCAGCATAAATTTCAAAGGCCAGAAGAGGATGCCATGGTATATTTAAAATACTGAATGGGAAAAATCTTAAGAATATTCCTATCCAGCAAGGCTATCATTCTGAATAGAAGGAGAGATAAAGAGTTTCTCAGAAAAACAAAAGCTAAAGGAGTTCATGACCACTAAACCAGCCTTACAAGAAACGTGAAAGGGGAGCCTGTGAATGGAAAGACCATAAGTAAGAGTAGAAAAAGTAGGAAGTACAAAACCAATAAAAATAAGTATATCCAAAAATATTAGTTAAAATAAATGGATGTTAAGTATGACACCATATACCTAAAACATGGGAGAAGAGAAGAATGGGTTCAAACTTAAGTGACCATCAACTTAATATAGACTGCTATATGCAGATGTTATATGCAAACCTATTGGTAACCATAAATCAAATACAGTAATAGATATGCAAAAAATAAAGAGAAAGGAATCGAAGCATATCACTAAAGAAAGCAAATTTGTGGTGATAGAAGAATGAAAGGAAAGAAAGGAACAGAGAAAATCTAGTATTTGCTCCCCAAACCAGGCCTTTAGCAGGTGATGGGCTTTGAGGAAGCCTTACCCTCAGTAACTCTGGGACAGTCTGCCTCATTCCATCTTTGATAACTTGTGACTAAATTCTACAAGCATTGGGAAAACAAATAAAAGTGGGAATTGGAGGGGGAGAGAATCAATAATTATTAAAATTGAAAGGGCTCTTAGAGTTAACCCAATTCAAAACTTCCTGCCACATCGTGCCTGGGTGGCTCAGTGGGTTAAGCGTCTGACTGGCTCAGGTCATGATCTCATGGTTCATGAGTTTGAACCCTGTGTTGGGCTCTGTGCTGACAGCTCAGAGCCTGAAGCCTGCTTTAGATTCTGTGTCTCCCTCTTACTCTGTTCCTACCCCACTTACACTCTATCTCCCTCCTTCAAAAGTAAATAGATGTTAAAAATTTAAAAGAAAACAACTTCCTTCCTCAATTTTACAAATGATAATCTAACAGAAGTTGATATGATGCTTTATCATCAGTGGCTTATAATAGAAAAAGTTGTTTGAAGACACAATATGGCATGCTTTCTCAGAGGAGGGGAGATCTACTAGTTTTCTTTATACAGCTGCTATTTTTCTTTTTTTTAAATAAATTCATTTTCTTTTTTTTTAACATTTATTTATTTTTGAGAAGAGACAGTGTGATTGGGGGAGGGGCAGAGAGAGAGAGAGACACTCACAGGATCTGAAGTAGGCTCTAGGCTCTGAGCTGTCAGCACAGAGCCTGATGCAGGGCTCGAATCCATGAACCGTGAGATCATGACCTGAGCAGAAGTCAGACACTTAACCAACTGAGCCACCCAGGAGCCCCTACATCTGCTATTTTTCTAATTGGAACTGAAGCAAGCCAGGAAGGGGATTACTAAGATGTAGAGAGAGAAAACAATATTTGTTCTCATTTTATCCTTCAATTTTTTGATCTACTGAGTACTTATCAATTATATGGACATGGAGGAATAACTAAAACCAAGGATTAAGATGGATGAGACATGGATAGTGGATAGATCTCAAGTCTAGAATCCAATCACAATCCAGAAGACTCCAACAAATAAAACCTATTGTTGTCTTACAGATGAAGAATCTGACAGCCCAGGTCAATGGCAACAGGGAGACCTATTCAGTTTTTCAGATACAAACTCCTTTAACATAGTCTCAGAGACACCAAAACTCATGGGATGCAGACGCAAGTCTTAACAAGAGACCCAAGGTCAAAGACTGGTAGCTTGAGACTGGCTTAACAAAAATGATACTAGCTAAAATCAAATCTGTACTCATGCCAAGTGGAAATAATAAGTGAGTGAGTTTTCCAGTTCACTCGTAAAGTAGGGGAATACACCCAAAGACAGATGTTTATATGTATATTTATCACACCATGTATCACTGAGTAGAGGACACCTTAGATCAAGTACCAGCTCTGGAACCAAAATATAGCTGAGCACCATCTATCTGTGACAGAGCAAGTATAATTAAAAAGTTCCAAAAGTAGAATAAAATTACTGAGTGAAATTTGGGGAAAATATAAATAAAGCACATATGTAGCACCTGAAAATTTTTATTATATATATATAATAAAATATATATATAATTAAAATATATATATATATATATACACAGCATTAGGGTCTATGAAAATGTCTGGAAAATATTTGTGGACCATCTTCTCATGAAACTCAAGAAACTCTTTTGACTTTAGATTTGCCATTGGGGTGAAGAAAGAAAACACATATGGAACTAATGGGTTCTTTTTAGAAAACTAGATGGCTGTAAGTGTGTGGTACAAGGGGAAATATAGTTGGGGGGAGGGAGGACGCAAACCATGAGAGACTCTTGAATGCAGAGAACAAACTGAGGGCTGATGGGGGTGGGGGGGAGGGGAAGGGGGGTGATGGGCATGGAGGAGGGCACTTGTTGGGATGAGCACTGGGTGTTATATGGAAACCAACTTCACAATAAACTATTTAAGAAATAAATAAATAAAATTTTTAAAAAACAACATAAAAAAAAGAAATGGAGAGCAATGAAGGGAGCTAACATAACAAAAACTCTGCCTTCTATTTCCATTTACAGATGGAAGGAATACTTGTATAAAGAGCCACTTGTACAGAAACCAAACCACAACTCATTAAAAAAATTATTCTAGTAACAACTTATCACAATAGTCAAAAACTAGGGGAAAAACATACAATGGGTTATAGCAAGGAGAATGAAAGCTAAAACTACATGCTAAATATGTATGAATCTCAGAAGCACAATACTGAGTGAATGAAACCAGATACAAAAAAGTACATACATTGCATTAATGAAAAACTCAACAACAGACAAAACAAATCTATTTCAGTCTGAAGAAGATTTATCCTTATTGGAGAGGATAACTTAGTATGGAATTACTAAAAAGTGTCTGGGATGCTGATAATAGTGTTTATTAATCTAGGTGCTAGTTACACATTTTATGAGAATTTATCCAGCTGTATATTAGGGATATACACACTATTCTATATATGTTTTCTATTTCTATTTCTATTAAAAATACTAAAGCAGTGTTTCCCACCTTTGTTCTATAGGACTCTGTTGCCTAAAGAAACATTATGTTATGGAGTTCTACCATAAGAGAGTTTGGTTTTCCATACATTTGGGAAGTGCTGGGGAAACCCAGTTAAATATATTTCCACACTATAGGATGTCTTCCTTAATAATATTAACTCTCCCTACCTGGCCTTGGATCCATTCATGCTGCCTCTATTTAAGTTTTTCTAAGGTTTGGTCTGGCCCCCAAATTTCAGTCACAACAGAAACTGCATGAAGGTATGTGGATCTGTACAAATCCCACAAAGTTTACCCCCTGACTGGAACAAAACCACTTTGAACACACACTGACTCTTATCAACCAGGGTGGATTAGCAACACCACCTTATTGTGGAAGAGCACATATTTCAAATAGGGTGTTGCCTCCTTTTTAGAAATCATGTCTCCCTTCAATGCTCTTGCACCCGTGTAATCCCAGAGCAGTGAACTGGCACATTTCATGAAATTTGCCAATACAATATAGGAAAGAAATACAGGAAAGCAGATTTTTCAAAAAAGCTTTTTACAGCTGTGCTTTGAGAATGCTCAAGTAATCTCAGCATTCTCATGGGTTTCCAGCTCATAAATCTGAGTTTCTCACAAATGCTTGAAACCTATCACTAGTTGACTCTTACAATCACCTCATTTTTCTAGTCACTTATGTCAAAACAAATCAGTGCTTCTTTATAGCTAGCATTTTGCTTGTTCATAATGCATTCATTGATTCAGGCTCTTGTCTCTGTTTTCTTAAACTCTTTGTCACTCTGGTTACCATGAGTGAGATTGAGGAATTTGAAGGCTGTCTCTATGCACAAATAAATAACAAGCAGGTTCTGTGTTGTTCACTTTAGGTCATTTTCCACAACTTTATTTATTTACCCAACTTGATTTAATCAGGCAGCTAGTTTACCTTTGTCTATTCATTTCTGCAAAATTCTAAAGTAAAAAATAGAAAAAGAAAATCCCCTAAATTTACTTAATTACATTTTTCTTAGAGGGGGAAAAGAGATCAATCTTCAAATGACTTATAAACAATTTGCCTCAAGTCCATCATCTCTCTTCCTGGCATCTGAGCATCAAATCTTTTCATTCCTTTTGCTACAGTCCTAATCAGATATACCACCCACTGCTCCTTAATTATAAAATGAGGGCAGGGAAACTAGACAGCATTTCAAACCAAGGTCTTAAGCCAAGACATTCAGAATAACAGATCCTAATTATGTTATATTGATTTCCAGCAGCAGAATTAAATTATCTATTTCAAAGGAAATTTAGAACAAACATTAACATAGTGATGTCTGGTTTGGTGAGAAACCATTTGGAGTGGAAAACAAGACTTCAATGTTTCAAAGCATACTAAGAAGACCATACTGCAAACATCAAACTATATTATACTTCATGGATAAATAGTAAGCATGATTATATTTGAGACTACAAAAGTCATTAGAAATAAAGAGAGGGAGAATAAAATTAAGAGAAAATTTTACAAATGGAACTGCCATAGCCATGGTTATACAATCTTAATGCAAAGTTGAAAAGAGTTTAATAAAATGACCACTGGACTTGGTTTATATCCAAGATACACTGAGCAATCTCACAGATAATATTTTAAATATGTTTGCTCCAGAATAAGGAAAAACTTTACCCAAAGAACTACAGGAAAAACAAGTTCACTTGTTAGTGTAACTTAAAGTTTTAACCAGAAAGAATTCCTCATACTAAGAAAAAGAATAATACATTTCATGATTAGCTAATTCATGGTCATGTAACTAACAATGATGGCACCTACCTCATTTAACTCCTGCTGAGTCTCAAAAGCATCCTTTGACCAAATGGTAGTCCTCTGGTCGATTCTATAAAATACAAAGAAAACTGATTTCCATCTAAAAGAAAGCTTTCAAAAATGCACAATTTGAAGCTGGCAGCTACAGATCTGGTTATATCCTTGTTCAAAACCCTCAGCTGTGCCCCACTGCCCACGGAATAAAATCCATTCCTTATAATAGTGTGCAACATATTACAGTGCTTGAATTCTGCTAGTCTGCCTGGCCCCACGTCCCAACCCTCAACATCCGGCCCCCTACACTCCAGCCTCTCTTGGCCTTCTCTTGGTTTCTTGAACACATAGTGCTGGTTCCCATCCAAACCTTTACACTTGTTGTCCCAAACTGTTATCCCCCAGATCTTCATAAACAGACTCTTCTCAGCATGTAAAAGTTAGTTCAGTTGTGATGAAACCTCCCAACAAGGCCCTCGTGACGTCCCTAACTAGAACTAGTCCTCCCAGAACTCCCTATTACACTTTCTTTGGATTTTCTTCTTAGCACTTATCACTATCGCAAAAAAACCTGTTTATTTGCATTTCCACATTAAGATGTAAGCACCAAAAATTAGTGGTTATGTCCATTCTCTACGCTGCTGAATCCTGAGTACCTAATACAAATTCATTATTTTTCATTCATTCAAAAAAGTCTTATGTGATCTGACAGATCTGGTACAGCTACCACAGAAAGATACCATTTGTTCATTGAAGACAGCATTTGAAAATTTCATCCTGTCTCTTAACTAACACAATAAACATACCAATTTCTGGGTAACATGGTGAAGTTAGGTTTTGCCATTACATAGTTTCTAATAAAATAAGGCAAATCTACTCTGAATTATTTTTTTAAGTTTAAATACAAAACAGCAAAGCTTCACTGCTGACCGATGCTAAGTTCCAAATCATGATTTGTCAAATGTTATGATCCAACAGTATCTGTTACATAACATTCAAGGTTTTCTATAGCAGTTTGCATATTATATAATAAGCATATTAAGTTATAGTTATTATCCTTATAAAAATGTCTGCTTTCTTAATAAAATATTTAGCCACCATTAAGTAATTTTTAAAAAGTTTTATTTGGGGACATAATTATTTACAGTTATTATTATGCTTCAATTTGAGTCTGGAAGAAAGCATATATGTCCTCTGGATGGTCAATAAGATTAATGATTTTTTAAAGTCATGATACACATTTAAAAATGCCACAAGCATAACTTCTTCAAAATATTCTTAATATTATAAAATTTATGCAGTGTAAGGGCATTGCTAACTGTGCAAACAATTTTCTTAAAATAAAAAAGTAAGACTATGAAAAAGCAAAATTGTCTAAGATGAACTGACATCTACTATACCTGCACAAACCAGCATGTCTCTCCTGAGTGTGAGAGAAGGTTAAGGGTCCAACAATGAGCTCAGGGAGAGATCACATAGTGAGAAAACAAAGTGAGGAAGAACACTACTGGCACGCCCATCCTATCTTCATCAATTCCCTCACCTGCAAACACAGTAATTTCAGGGCATCAGAAAATACTAAATTGCTCTATCCAAATGAGGGAAACCCTCTTGGGGGATATAAATGAACCTATCCAATCCAGTAACATCTAAAATTTTGAGTGTTTTATAATTTCTTTGTAATTCTTTGTGGTTCTCAAATTGCATTTCCTTTTTTTAAAATGTTTTTATTTATTTTTGAGAGAGAGAGAGTAGGGGAAGAGCAGAGAGAGAGGGAGACACAGAAACCTCCAGGCTCTAAGCTGTCAGGACAGAGCCTGACAATTCACAAATCCACAACCCACAAATCGTGAGATCATGACCTGAGCCAAAGTGGACATCCAACCGACTGAGCCACCCATGTGCCCCTCAAATTGCATTTCTATAGAGTTATAGTAGCACCAGAAAGATGAAAGAGTGGTATTCTTTAATGGAAAAAATATTTACCACTTTATAGTTTAAACATAAATTTGTCTAGGCCTTCGATGCTAGAAGAAAGTAAAACAAATACACAGGCAGCAAATATTAATGGGAAAAGCAGAAATAGACTTTGTTAAAAATATGTATTACTGAGAAACAGAGTACAGCCCACTTGTAATATACACTCACATGTTCTTCCAGGAAAACTACCTAAAATCTCCAAATAAACCTCAAGATCAGTTTTGAAAACTGTGGTCTAAGCATCAAGGGTCTTTAATTCAATAACCATCTGAATGTCTCTTCTGTGCCTGGTGTAGTCTTGGGGAGGTAAGAGTCAATAAGACTCTAACCCTTTAGCAGGCTTATGATTTAATGGAATCTGAAGCAAAGTATAAAGCTAAAATGCAGGCTAATTTCAGTAAGTCAGGGATCAGACCACTAAGGCTGATAGTACAATGGTAGAAAGGAACTGGTGATGTAGAAACAAGAGATATTTTCAAGGATAAAAACAATCAAGAGGTCTTGGGTGTGTATTGAAAGTATGGAATAAAAGAGATGGGATAATCAAAATCATTCCCAAGTTTTGAGACCTTGTAACTGGAAAGATGACAGGTGGTTTTTACAATGGAAGTAAAAAAAATATATATGTAATTTTGGTGGGGAGATTAAGCAGTTGGCAGAAAGAGAGGCAATTCTTAGATATTTTCAGCTTGAAGCAAGGCTGAAATAGAGAAATAATCCCTGAGCAGGGCTCAGCCTAGATTTGGCACTCTACAGTGTGTTTAGTGGTGGTGTGGCAGTGATGGTAACAGTGCTGTGTTGTGGTCACAGGTTCTGCCTTGATATTTTCCCTGTTGTGGTCATAGCCTAGCATGGTGCCTAGAATGGCATACGCCCAGGACATGTCTTTCAGATGGATGGGCAAATGAAGAAACTGAAGGAAGCTGATCTTCATCGACCACTTACTAAGTGAGTGTATCCATGGGTAAGATATCAATCTCTATAAAACCTCAGTCTCCTCATTTTGTAAAGTGAGGATAATAGCAGCTACCTCGTAGTATAATTACTGCTACCAATATTAAAAATCACACATGGATTCTAGAATCATATATGAAAAATACCAAAATAGAATTTAAAATGATGATAATTAATGTTATATTTAATTAACAATGATAAAAGTCTTGTGAATAAGCAATCTGAAAGGGACAAAACCTGGGACTTTCTTACCCAGGGTTACTGGGTAAGTCTCAGAAACTGGCCAATTAGTAGACAGAATAAAGAAAGTATAGATCCATCACTAAGAAGTTAAGAAGCTTAAAATGTCATGCTAAATATTAAAGAGAAAGGACTTATAAGGAAAAAAAAGTGTCAAGGACCATATAACAACTCACTAGCCATTACTATGTCAGGCTGGGAATGCCAGGTACTTGACTTACATTATTCCATTTAATCTTCTTAGTGATTATATGAGATTAGTATTATCATACCATCTGACTTAACAAGAAACAGGGAACTTAAATAACTTTTTACATTCATTAAACTAATATTTATGAACCAGCAATTATGTTCCAGGTATGATTGCAGGTTTTTGGAATAAAACAGTAAAGCAAAGTCTCTGCCCTCATGGAACTTATAATTTTCATACGAAGAGAAAAAAACTAAAGAAATAAACCAATGAGCTATGGTACACCAGATTCTAAGTATTATGGAGAAAATTCAAGAAAAACAGGGCATGTGTGGGGATTGCCCAAGCTCACACTGCTAGAAAATCTCAGTCATCTGGAGATAATGAGAATGAAAGCACAGAAACAAAAGGACAGTGGATTGAACAAGATAAAGTTCATGGCAGAAGAGGAAACAGAAATGAAAGCTTCTCACTAGAGAAGTTTAGCAATGAAAAAAGAACTGGAACAGTAGCTTGATGTCTCAAATTCTCTTTTTTTAAAAAGGTTTTTGAAGATACTGCTTGCACTATTTATAATTCTTCCTGGAAGCTAGCCAAAATACAAACATTGGGTCACACTGAAACATTCCCTCCAATTCTCTTGCTTCTCTTCATCCAAATAAAAATAGGAAAGGAACCAAGCACATCTCTACCAAATGCATGCTTCTGGAGAGGTCAGTGAGGAGAAGGCTAGTCAGAGCACTCTGCCAGCTCCAGGACAGCCCTGCCCGCTGGTCCAAGCAACAGGAAATGCAGATTGGACTCCTTAGAGCACGATTATGGCCCTCAGCACTGATAGGAGTGTCATGCTTTTGAGCTTTACCACCACTACCACCACTGTCATTGTCACCACCACCACGACCACTGTCATCATCACCACCATTATTGTCACCACCACCACCATCACCAAAATCACTACTGTGTGACCACCACTGGCGTCATTGCCATAGCCACTGTCATCACTGCCACCACCATCATCACCACCAACGACCACCACCATGGTCACCACCACTGCCATCACCATCATTGTAACTACCACTGCTGCCATTATCACCACCACCACCATTGCCCATGACCACTACTGTATCTGCCACGACCACTACCATCACAGCAACTGCCACTGTCGTCATCACCACCACTGTTGTCACTGCCACTACAGCCATCACCACTATTGTCATCACCATGACCACCACCAACACCACATCATAACCACCGCCACTGCCACTATCATCATTGCCACCATTATATGCTTCAAATTAAAAGCACTTCTAACAGAGAAATAGAAAACTTAATTGTGTGTTGATATTAGAAGAGCTTCTTCCTGGATGGAGCTGCATCCAGTTTCGGTGACTGCAAGACTGTGGATAACTCACTGAAGTGGAAATTTTCTAAAATTTTTGGTGTTTCCACTTTGCTTGGACCTTAAAGCATGTGCTGAGTCAATCTATCGGGTCATCCTGCAGTGGTCTTCCCTCAGAATGTATACTGGAATTCAAATAGAAAAATGAACAAAACATTAAGATATTTTTCTTGGCCTAAGGATGGCGTCTAGCCACAGATGTGATAATTTGTGAAGAAACAATATCTTAGCATAGAATTTTTTATATCAACCTTTCAATTATCTATAATTAAATTAGCAGGTGAAAGTGTTCCCTATCTAATTGAAAAACTTC